TAACGATGGTTTACAGGTATTAACACGACTGGTAAGACTAAAGAGCTTTGTGTTAGTCATGAAAGTGTTTCTGGAGGCAATAGTTTTTAACTGAGCCTCATGGGTGGAAGAGAAGGGAATCACACAATTCCAGATCTGTGAAACAACTGAGAAAAGTGAAAGAATTCTGGTTTGGCTGGAGTGGGTGGATGTAGTCATGGTCCCAGGACAGGACAGACCAGGTTGCTTTCATTGGGCTGGAGCTGATGGTTGTATCTCCAGGGAATGGTATAGGGGGAGAGCACATGCTCCTGGAGGCCCTTAGATGGGAATTCACCAGACAGTAGGGAGGGCTGAGAGACAAAGTAAGGGAAATCTATTACCACCCACAAGTGTTTGTGGCAGGATCTAGACTCCAGATGAGAGCCATGGTCTGGAGCTGGGGAAGCCAATCTGGGCCATGCCCTTTCATGGAATCCTGGCCACGGCTGCCAGTGTTAGTATCACTGGCTTGTCTGCACTGGGCCAGGGACATGGGGTGCATGCAGATGGGGAAGGCTAACTGGCACAGAGTTGGGCACACACGTAACAAATCAATTGGTGAAGATCTTCAAACGCTGGCCTTCGGAGCCCACAGGAAGGCTTTGACATCAACTCACAAGCTTTGGTTTCACGTAATTTCGAAAGCAGACTTCCAAATCAGCCCTGCATTTTTCCGCCTGCCACTTGTATCTCAAACATTTTCCCACTTGGCAGAACTACCTTGGCTCCCTCTGAGCAGACTGACGAGGAGGCTGGAATGTGTGTGAAGGAGCAGAAAGGGCAGCAGACAGTGAGCCATTCCTGGCTTCTGTAAAAGCACTCCTTAGCTTTCTGCCCTGTGTATACAAGATTCCATTGAGCGTTAATCTGGGATCATCTATCAAAAGACTTGAAAATTCAAAATACCAAAAGTTTTGCTTAGAGGTCAAATTTCAGAGTTTTGACTGTATTTGGCATGTTTGCATTGAGAGTGAATGCCATGAGAAACTCAAGACATAGGCAGCGTTAGCCTTTAGGACGGACAGAATGCAGAGTATAAACAAACTACCTTGGAAAGGATTGGCAAAGAGGGTCAAGCTGAGCTGCTTATTCGTTTGAGGGTTGGGGGGTGGGGCGAGTCTCTAGTCCTCACCTATGGGTTACTCCTAAGAGGGCTTATGGCTCCTGTTGTTTGATTAAGGGCTCTGGTCTCTATACTTCTTACTTGAAGTCACCAGATCTCAATCACTACCGGATTTTAGCCACCCCATACCCGTATTTCCATGTAGACGTTCCAGTATCACAGGCAGTTAAATAGGATTAGGATGATTTTCAGGCTCTTTTTCCAAAACGCTCTCCCTTTCCAGTTTCCGCAGTGCCTTTTCAGTCCCATGGTTTTCCTTCCCCGTCTCCTGTGTAATAATGGAAAGAGTGAAAACAGCATCAGCTGGGAGATGCACAGAGGCTCTGCACTTGCTGTGTGACTTCTGCCTTAGCCTCCTTTCCATCCAATCAGATACCTCCAGGGATAGCTGTGGAGATTAATGTAAAAAAAAAACATAAAATGTGAAGCCATGAAGGCTTCAGGTCCGGCACAGAGTAGGAGCTCAATGCTGTCTCCCTCTCTCCTTTTTCCTGTCCCTTGTCTTTTGCTGTCTTTGGTTCCCAGTAATCATCTGTTTATCTCATTCTGAAATAGTCTGAGTGGCGATCACAATTGATGACCAAATTAGGAGGAAGAAAAGGAGGTGAAAACTGAACACAAGTGCCATCTGTTTTTATCATTTTTAAAGGCACTAGAGAGGGAGAGATATGGTGTCAGTCTTGGAAGATGCTTGCGATTTGGGCACTGTCTTCCTCTTTGATTCCACAGGACCTCATGCACTCACTGGAGAAGAGGACCATCTCTCTCAGTTGCATGTAATGGACAAGCCAGAGAGAGAACTAGCCATTTCTTGATGCAAATACAACAGCACTGTCTACCCCAGTGGTAATTCTTCTGACACTGGGACTAACTGATTGCAAAAAAGAATTCATTTAAAAAGTACAGGTTTCATAGCAATAGCAATACATTAGCATAAAACAAGGTACTAATGACATGCTAATGAGAAAACAATGTTACCTATTTGCTTTAAATATAATTCTTTGGAAATACAAAATGACGGAAACATGGTGAGCAGGTGCATGAATTTACAGATAGTACTTGAACCATGAAATAAAACTTTAGGGGCCCTGTATATGCATACAGAAGACCAAATTGTTGATATGTGATCCTTCCTAGATCCCCTTATTAAAATACTGGCTGATTTTTTTGAAAAAACAAGGCTTTATTCTAAGTTGGCTTTTTTTTTTTTTAATTAGGGAATAAAAATTCCTTTTTTAAAAAAATTGTAGGGCCAGGTGCGATGGGTCATGCCTGTAGTCCCACCAGACTGGGAGGCTAAGGCAGGAGGATCACTAGAAACCAGGAGTTTGCCATCAGCTGAGGAAGCAAAGCAAGACCCCATCTCTACAAATCTTTTTTAAATTGGCCAGGTGTGATGATGTGCACCTGGAGTCCCAACTACTTGGGAGACTGAGGAAAGAGAATCACTTGAGCCCAGGAGCTGGAGATTACAGTGAACTCTGATTGCGTCACTGCAATCCAGCCTGGGTGACAGAGTGAGGCACCACCGTATTTTAAAAAAATAATAATAAGTTCAGTTATCGCTCTTCACTGCCAAAATTTTTTTTATTAACTATTACATATAGTCATAAATACAAACTTATGATCTTGATGTTTTCAGAACAAGACACCCTAGAACTTTCAACACATTCGTTACTATGCAAAAAGGAGACAATATAAGTTTTATTGTTGTTACTGTTTTTTCTAGTAACCTGGCCTCGACACACTGCAGTCCTTCTCAGGAAAAATCATTCCACTTGCCTTTATGATAGAATGCAGCCATGTCAGCAATGAAATGCAAGTTGGTATTGGGAATGGCTGATCTTTTATTTATTTATTTATTTATTTATTTATTTATTTATTTATTTGAGATGGAGTCTCACAATGTCGCCCAGGCTGGAGTGCAGTGGCGTGATCTCGGCTCACTGCAACCTCTGCCTCCCAGGTTCAAGCAATCTTTGTCTTAGCCTCCTGAGTAGCTGGGATTACAGGTGCCTGCCTCCATGCCTGGCTAATTTTTGTATTTTTAGTAGAGACAAGTTTTCGCCATCTTGGCCAGGCTGGTCTTGAACTCCTGACCTTGTGATCCATCTGCCTCGTCTTCCCAAAGTGCTGAGATTACAGGCGTGAGCTTTAAGTGCTATCCAAAGCTATAAAAAGCTATGTATTTTTTCTTACCTTTTCCTCACCTTTACTTGGTTTCCCAGAGCATGTTCAATGATCCCAAATCTCACGCTGCACTCCGTTTCTCTCTCTACCTTCCTTCCATTCTCTCTCAGTAAAAAAGTGCTAACTACCAAGTGTCTGGCTTGAACAAAAAGTTACAACACGGATGTTCCCAATGTTGGACTGTCAAGCCGAAAGCATGTGCACAAAGCAGCTGGTACAAGCACCTCAGTCACATGGCCACCAGTGGGGACTGAGCTGGGCTCATGAACCTTCCAGGCAACAACTTTGCAGTATCTTTCTCAGCCTTTCTCCATTCACATCCACGCTTCTGCTGAGCCATTCTTTAGGTCTCAGATCCCTTTCACCTTCCACAAAGGATGCTATGAAACAGAAAAACCTGCTGCTCAAATCCCAAATAAGAATGGAAGGTGCACAATATGACCCAGTAGATCTCCTTTCCATTTCTGCTATGAAGCCAACCTGCAAACAAAGACATGCTGACTCTTGTATAACCATCCAAAGAGGCTGAGGATTATCAACTACTGTGAGATAGTAGTCAATTGTCACATGCTGTGCCCCAGAGATCTTTCTTAACTTGTTTATTTACATAGTGGGATGGTTACACAAGACGAGCTGCTTCTCAGAATCCGGCTAGCAACAATTCCCTCAGGGAAAGTTATTAAGGCTGACGGGCCTCGGAGAGCCAGAGTAAGAAGAATTGAAGCCCCAGTTTAAGTCCTGTTAAACTTTTAATTTGGAAATAATTTAGAAATAATTTCTCATTATTAGACTATAAATGCTCAGCCAGGCTATGTTTCAGTTTGAGTCAACTAAATGTAGAAGCAACTTAGTCCTATACTTTTTTATATAAGAATCTTATTCATTCAGCTCCAGGCTCCGAATTTGATAACATGTTTTCTATGGACTTCTTCTCTTCATATCTAACAATATTAAAGAAGAAAAACAGGGAAAAATTATAATGACTCCCATATATATATATATATATATATATATATATATATATATACTCAGATATAGCCAAATGGAATTACTAGCAGTTTGCTTAAACACACACTCTGGTTCGGGGTCCGCATACATAGGCACCTAGAGCCTCTTGCAAAGCCCTCCCCAGCTTCTGCTTATCAGAATTCCTCCCCCCCCTTTTAAAAAAGCCTATCCAAATGTCTCTTTCTCCATCATCACCCAGTCAAAAATAATATTGCTCACCTGGCATTGTGTTTGAGTCCTTTTTGAGATACCTATGTGGCCTCATGTTAGGAGCTTTTGTATAATTTCTCAATGGATCCTTAGCAGGTTGGTGACAGTGTCTTTGATATCTTTGCAACTTCTGCAATGATTCTTGTCTTTAATGATTCAATGTCTTAAATGTGATAGGCACTTTCTAAGTATTTTGCCTCTAGGTGATTAAAAATTGGAGAAGTAGAGAAATCAAAGAGGAACAGATGCTTAATAAGTACCACGTGTGTGCTTTGCCTCTGTGTCTTATCTGTAAGAGCCCTCCAATTTCCAACACGTGAGGGTCAGGAGTCTGTGCTGTATTTACTCCTGGTGTTAAAGCCCTTGAAGTTTATAAGTTAGTTTTTCACTAGAAAAATAATGAAGGCTGGTAGTTTACACTCAGCTGTTGATGCTTGTTTGAAGTATTTTTTTTAAAGAGATTTATCAGGTCCATCTTTCACCTGGCTGCAGCTGCCTTGTAGAAAGCGAAGGCACTTTAACTTTGACAGCCTGAAAAGTTTCCTGCCCGTGGACTTGTTTGTCTCCTACTGTCTTTGCCGTTCCCTCTCTTTTTCTTTTAACTCTTTTAGTGAGGGCTGCTTTTGGGTGCTTCGTCAGCTCTGAGGCACGTCAAATTCGTGTATTTTGCTTTCAGCATTGTGTGGGGGATCCTGGCGGCTGGAACTGCCCCTGGTCCGGGCTTCGGGCTGACTGCGAAAGTTCCTATTTTCCTCTCCTCCTCTCATTGGCTCCCGTGATCACATGAGGGCGGGGGGTTGGAATTCTGAGTTGTGGCTTTGGCACTCCTTTTTCTTTTTAAAAATCGCTGGGTCTGTTGAGCTGTCCTGGGCTGGGTGCCTTGCTCTTTGACTGAGACTGGAGACAGACGGAAACAGCCACAGGCAGACTGAGGTGGCAACAGGAAATCTGCCGAGATGTTCAGTCAGGTGCCCAGGACCCCAGCCTCAGGCTGCTACTACCTAAATTCCATGACACCTGAGGGCCAGGAGATGTACTTGCGATTTGATCAGACTACGAGACGCTCTCCTTACAGGATGAGCCGGATTCTAGCACGCCATCAGCTAGTGACTAAAATCCAACAAGGTGAGTGGCCGACAGTGGAAGGCTGTTGTTGCTCATTCTGATTTCTGTTGGCTCTGTTTCATGCTAACCCAGTTTTTTTTTTTTAAATTATTGTTTTCACTTTATAACATATGGATTTCTATGCCACACTACCCATAACTTTGAAAAATAACTTTAGGCTGCAGTTTTCACAAACAGGGACAGCCCTCAGCTGCCACATAGCTCAACATAAAGTGCACAGAAAACTTCACGGTGGGAGAGTGAATCATAAATTCCAAAACTTACATGTGTCTACAGAACAGATGAGAATGGTTACTCAGTGTGTATCTTAGGAGCTTTTCTGCAATTTCCTCACACTCCGTCACATTTAGAATGTGGACACTTGTTTATTTCCTTAGGGAGGGGGCAGGGGACTAATGTCCACCCTGTCGGGAGTATTTGGAACATCCTTAGTGAAGAGGAGGAAAGTAAGAATTCTGTTCCGAAGGCCACCAGACTAAGCACTAGAATCGCATTCTCTTCCTGTTTGTACGTTTATGTCAGCAGTTGCCACAGATGTGTTGATATTGTTTTTCTGGTAAAGAATTAAGGTGTTTGTTTATCTCAAAACAAATCCTATGACCTGCATGCAAAACTCCAACTTCCTAAGGCAAAGAGAAGAGAATATTGGTTATAAGCTGCTTGATTTTCTTTTTATTCTCAGCCCCCCCAAAATACCAGCCTGGAAGTCTAGACATTACTAAAATTTACCGGTCTCCAAGAAAAAAAAAAATTTAAAACCTGATCCTTATACGGTATATCAGGAGAAAGTAGAAAGATGAACATTCCTAAGAGGTTCCTAACACACATGTCTACAGTCCGTTAATGATCACCACCCCCCCAGACTAAAATAAAAGAAATTATTATATCGGTGCTACATAACTTACCCAGGAATTTCTACAGCCATTATAAAAATAGTTTCCATTTAAATAAATGAGTTTAAGATTATATTGAATATTAGAGAGGAAGTTGGGGTTTGTAATCATGAAAATCTTATTGTAATGTTTCCAAAAAGAACAATATGTATTCTAGTGAGCAGCATTTGATGAGATTGTTTCCTTGGAAATTAGGATTTGTTTGTAAAGGCTCAGGAACTAGTTATGTGTGAAGGATGCTGGTCCTACATGCTGGTCTGATTTCAGGAAGGATATTATGTCATTCCATAAACCCTGTGTGCAGGTCTTGATTGAATAGAAACAAAAGTAATTATTTCCCTGTGGCTTGATTTAAAAATACTTTAGGCTTAGAATAAAAACCATCTCCACTTTGCTTTTAGAAATTTCTGGCGATGGTGCTTTTCCAAATGCCATCATCTTTATGAACACTGGGGCTTAATAATGCTCTGTCATCTACAATATATAAATGTTCCTCAGCTTGCATATCATATTAGAAATATTGCATAGAGGCCAGGCGTGGTGGCTCATGCCTGCAATCCCAACACTTTGGGAGGCCGATAGGGGCATATCACCTGAGGTCGGGAGTTCAAGACCAGCCTGGCCAACATGGGAAAACTCCATCTGTACTAAAAATACAAAATTAGCCAGGTGTGGTGGCACATGCCTGTAATCCCAGCTACTCGGGAGGCTGAGGTAGGAGAATCATCTGAACCCAGAAGGCGGGAGTTGCAGTGAGCCAAGATCACACCACTGCACTTCAGCCTGGATGACAGAGTGAGACTCTGTCTCAAAAAAAAAAAAAAAAGAAAAGAAAGGAACCACAAACAGACACTGGGGCCTACCTGAGGGTTGAGGATGGGAGGAAAAGGGAGTGAAAGGATGGAAAAAAAAAAGAAAAGAAATATTGCATAGAACTAGCTGAAATTACTTTGCAAACCTCCTTAGATGTATTTTCAATAATTGATTTTATTTAAATATTATTTATGTCCTTTTGGAATGAGGGTTATTTTTCCATCCGGGATTTGAAGTTGTGAACACATGCACTTAGATCACACCACTGCATTCCAGCCTGGGTGAGAGTAAGATCCTGTCTCAAAAACAAAAAGAAAACAAAGCTGTTAGTAAAATAACTTGTCATCCTGTGTTACTAGTAACTTGAGACATACGGGTGCCCTCAGTTTATGTTTCATTTTTGTCTAATTAGAAAATTTGAGGATTCCCTCCTTTTTATACTGGGCTGTGGAGTGTTTGCAGTCAATGAATACCTAACACTTAAAAATGACTGTTAAGATCACAGGGAAGCAATAAAGATTTTCAACAATGTGGTGATTCAGAAATCATTATCTGTTAACATTATGCAACTCTTTAGTAAGACAATGAGAAAGCAATGCAAAACAATTTTATTGAGTTTACTGTATTAGATGGTTTACTGTAATAGCAGAGAATGTGGATTAAACAGTTACAGCATACCAAAATCATATACTTACTTTTTTTATTATATCCATTTTACAGATGAGAAAACAGATGCACAAAGGGTTCAAGTAGCTTGTCCAAAGTCACACAGTAGGAACTGGTACTTGAATACAGCTTGACAGTCCATGCTCTGCAATATATGAGACTATTTTTTAGTTTTTATAATAAGTGCTAAAGTACTGAACATATGGTTGAGCTTTGTATTACATAATATACTAGAGACTCTTAGATTTGCTACTCGGGATACAGTATTGCACCATATTATAGGATCAGAATTGGTCACTCATTATTATTATAATGAAGACCATTATAATATAATTATAAATTATATAATTTATAATTTTATAATTCACTGCTGCCTTGACCTCCTGGGCACAAGTGATCCTCCCACCTCAGCCTCCTGAGTAGCTGAGACTACAGGCGTGTGTCACCTTGCCTGGCTAATTTTTTAATGTTTTCTAGAGACAGGGTCTCACTATATTGCTCAGGCTGGTCTCAAACTCCTGGGCCCAAGTGATCCTCCCACCTCAGCCTCCCAAAGTGCTGGGACTACAAGTGTGAGCCACTGTGCCCTGGCACCAACAGCTTTTAATCATTCCATTAATCATGTGCAAATAAAATTAATGACAGCATTGTTTTCTGTAGTTTACAGGGTAGTATCTTGAAGTGACAGCCACATCACTAATATTGTTTGCATTACTCTGCTTTAGATCTTGAAAATCTAGCATTATGTTAATTTGATTTGAGGCATCATTACTTATAATTTCTCTTGGTTCTTGGGAACAGTGGAAACACATAAGTTGCTCCCCACTGACCTTATTATAGTGAGATAATCATTGAATGGAGTGCACATGATTCAATAGCAGATACACTCATGGGGAGGAAAAACAAGGAGGAGAAATAAAGGAATCTTTGATGATGCATAGGATCAGAATTCATTACCCAAACCCAGGATGAATCTAAACTTGCTCATCTCAGGGTACACATCAAAAAGTACATGCATCATGTCTGTAGCCTGTTTTTTTAGTTCTGGGATTGCAAATCCAGTTCAAAAGAGCGGAGATGTTTAAAAGAGAGTGTTGTTTTGCAGAGTGAAAGTTTATCATAAGTCATACTGCCCATAATCCCTACCCCACATTCTTGCTTGAATCAATAGGGAAATTGTTGTAGAGAGAGAGAATGGTCCTTATTTCCCTCACTGACTGGCACTTGGGAGTGGATAGAAGAGAGGATGCTGGGGGTGGAGGAAGACCATGTTAAGCCATGGAGGGGTGGATTGGATTTTTTTCTCGTTCTTTTGTTGTGGCAAAATGCATACTATATTAATTGTTGCCCTCTTGGCCATTTTTAAATGGATAGTTCAGTGGTATTAAATACATTCATAATTCATAATGTGCAACCATCACCACCATCCATTTCCAGAGCTCTTTTCACCTTGCAAAACTGAAACTCCATACCCATTAAACAAGAATTCCTCATTCCTCCTCCTCTCAGTCTCTGGCACCCACCATTCAACTTTCTGTCTCCATGAATTTGACTACTTTAAGTACCTCATATAAGTGAAATCATAGTGATTTACTTTGTGTGACTGGCTTATTTCACCTTGTACAATGTCTTTGAGGTTCATCCATGTTTTAGCACATGGCAGGATTTCCTTTTTTTTTTTTTTTATTATTCCATTGTATATGGTTAGTAGCCATCTTAATAAGTATGAGGGGAGAATTGGATTTCTATGTTATTATTTGATGGCTATGATTTATTGGGTACAGATGTACCATGTTTAAAGTTTACATGTACACACACACACACACACACACACACACACACACACACGTGCTGTTTGGAAAACCCGAATGTAAGCAGATACATAAATGTGATTACTTGCTTTTTGAAAGAATTTATCACGCTGTTAAACTTTTTATTTTATTTTAAATGCTTAGAAAGCAGCATAATCCAGATTGCAGTCAAGTCTGCTGACATAGGATAAGGAGACAGGGATCGAAGCTCTGTGTAGATGCTCCCTCACTCATTTACAGCGTCAAGTTCCAGAGCTTCACTGGACCTTTGGTTTTTGATGAGAAAATGAAGTAGATGGACTATGATTGCTCAAGTTTATTCTGTTTCTCATGTTCTGGAATTCTCTCTGTGGTTAAGTCATAAACTCTTCGAACAGGAATGTAAAAAGCAGGGGAACGTAAACCTAACATAGTAGAACCTAAAAAGGCAACAGAGCGGCTTTAGTATGTAGAATATATCAGTGGCTTACAATTGTTCTACAGTTTGTCAAGGAAATGGTAAAGTGGAAATTAGGCTTTTGTTCTACCTCTGCCACTAATTTATTGTGTGATCTGAGAGAAATCACAACTTCTCTAGACCTTTTCCCCTTCTTCCATTAAATAATGGGGTTGGATTAAAGAATCTCTGGAGTCATCATCTCTAAAATTCTAAGATTCTGCAATTGCAGGTATTACCTTAAGACAAAGGCAGTGCTTATTTACATTTTTCTTATTACGTGATTCAGCATATACCTGGACATGCTTCCTTGACATCTGGGTAGTGCTTTTATTATCAATGTCATAGGAATGTAAGGAAGCTCAGGCTTGTGGACTATTT